AAGGCCTTCTCTAAATCAACTAATTTTACGCAAAAGTGAATGGGACTGAGGGCTGTTGAGTTGATGAATGTGCGTTGTGAAAAAAAAGGAATAGTCAACAGATATATTTAGATGATTTTTGATTGCCATTTGGTGTAATTTTATTTTTTTGTTTTGGCTGCCTCTGTCATTATGGTCGTTGTTGACAGCACAATAATTTTCAATCTCTTCATTTGCACATTTTTTAGTCGTACTATTTGTACAGTATTTTTTTTTCTTCCTCGCACAGTGTTTCCCTTCCATATATATTATTTGAAAACATAGAATTATGGTAGGATTTTTACATGAAAATTTACCTGTTACTGAATATGATCCACTAGGTGGCGCAGGAGTTGAGTCATTTGTGAAACCTCTATTTGTGGTCCAATTCGGTTCTTAGTTATAATATATATTACTTATATGAAAAAGAGTAACTGCCGATAGGTGGCGTAGGAGTCTAGATAAATTTGGAAACCCGTATTTATGGTGCGTTCATACTTAGAAAGCTTGTTTTAAACATGTGTTTTTACTATTAACGTATTATAATGCAATCTATTAAAATTTTCCATTTCTAGAAATTAATAAATATTTATTTTTTAATACCGAAAGAACACTTCTTCAGTAATTAAGTACCAAATTTGCATTTCTATAATTCTCTACTATATATTTAGAAAAAAAAAAAAATCAAACATTTTTTTTTTCAAAAAATTTATTTTTGACATTCGTGAAGGTATCTATGCTCTGTTTAAAATTCTTACTATTAAATTTTTAACTGTAGTGACTTTCTGGCGACTATAAGACTGTAGGGAAAATTTCAAGTTTTTAAATTCAGCTTTGTATTTTAAATTGTTTCAGTTATGGTAAAGCCTAGCCTACCACTTTATAAAAAATTAAGCTATTAAAAGGAAAGTGTTTAATGGTTTTTTTTTTATATGAAATACGAGCAGGAAAAATTTTACTCATACGCCTTGTAAATGTCCATACGTATGAGTAACTTTTTCCATGTCAAAGTTGGAATTCATTTTCATTCACAATGCAAATTTAAAATTCAAATATCTTGGGAAAAGACCTGGTTTAGAAAAACGGTACACAGATCCGTAATCCAAGACCCAACCTTAGGTTTACGAGTCGCAGCGTGTTTTGTGTAATTTTAGCATTCTTAAAGTGTAATTTATTTTAAAGGAAAATATAGGTTTAATTCTTGTTAGTGAATAAATTGCCTTTACAAAAATACCAAACACGTTTCCATTGCAGACAACGAATTTTTTGAATTTTTGCTTACAAATGCGGTACTGTGCGTCGGCGGAGCAATTCGTATTTGCTGTCGCGCTGTCTACCTTGTTATTGACTCTCTGCTTTTTTGAAAATATTAATGTTTTGTGTGTATGTATAAGCTTATTTGAGTGTGTTTCCAATGAATGTTTCTTAACGCTAATTTCAATTGATTTAATATTTTATTGTTGCTGATTTTCGGCTACTTTCTTTACACATTGTTTTATTTTTATATTTTTTCGGTGTAATGTTTTGCACTTTTGTTTTCTACTCGGTTGGTAGCAATCACACGCCTTTCAAAGGCCTTAAGCTTAATGTGGGTACAAAAATTTTTCTTTGTTTTGTCTGTCAGCATCGGACACTGACTGGTCTGTCTGCCTGTCATTGTCACTTAGAGTAATTGTGCAATATGAAGGCAAAAGGCAAAGACTTTTTTTGGGAGTAACTTTTATAAAAAGTATTCAATTGTGTTTTGAGAATGCTGGGAACCATTTTTAGTAAATTCCTTTCTGTCTTATTTTATATCAAAGAAAAAGATTCTTAGAATGTATAGCGCGTACGTATGTACGTTTAGTTCTCATCTCTCATAGTTTTCTGCACTGCTCGGCACTTGACGGAGCCAAATTACATATCGGCATTATTTTATATTTTATATCTTTAAAACACATGCTTTATTAGCACAAGTATTTAGAAGTTTTCTGAATTTACTTTTCCGTTGGAAATTAAATTGCTGCATCAAAACTCTACTTCGGTGGGAACAGTCAAACTGTTATCAAGGCTCTTGTGGTTCAGTAACAACTAATTCCAAATACGCGTTCAATAATGCTGAAGTTCCCTACAATCTCTTCGACAGCTTATTGTTAATTTGTACTGGGTCTGGCGACACTGTGGTTTTCAGGGAAATTTTGAAGCAGACGATTGCACGAGAAGGGGATCTGAGATAGCAGTTTGAAGTATATGGCCTCTCTTATGATACTGGTTGTCATGAGATCTACAGATGTCTAGAGCAGCTCTCAAAATCTAGGGGACCACCTCATTAGAGGGTTAAGAGAAATCTTGCGATAAGTGCCAAATACATAATACTTCTACCGTATTTAGGAACATGACTTTCTGGTGAATTAAAATATTGTGACTTTAGATATGCTTGTATGTAGAAAAACAGAAATCAAAATTTGGTATTTTTTTCTGGAAAATAACAGGTACTTTTTATATTAAACACAAAAAGTTACGAAAGCTGTCGGAAAAATCCCAAAACCTTTCAAAAATAATAAAATGTGCAGAAAAACGTAAGAAAATCCCGAAATAATACTTTTAAAGATAAAAGTCTCAAAAATTCCAAACATGCCGTTAATCATGCAATTTTTTTGCTAATGTTCATCTAAATATTAAGAGTATGTATTTATTAAAACGTTTCCCCTTTATTTACAGCATGTATGTATATATGCTCGGTACGGTGTTCGGTGTGAGTGCTAAATTAGAGTTGGGAAGTTTAGCGCATTTTAGTGATCAGAGATTCTAGTTCAAATCACGTAGTTAAGTAGTTCAGCAGGGAAATGTTTAGTTATTTGCTTCGTGATTTTGGTGAGGTGGATAGAGGGGGAAAAGGTGGGCTTAACATTAAGAAAATTCATTCATGCCCCTTTAACTCCCTATAGGCTTCTGGGAATTATTTAAAAATAAAAAAAATCATCATCTGAAGAGAATAAATGAACGATCAATGTTAGAATTATAGTCAAACCAACAAGAAAGTGAAAAAAACTATATCCTTATCTTATGAGGCTTCGAACTATAGCCTACCAGAATTGCGTCCAAGATCCACTTCCATTTAATTTAAGCCGGCACGCCTTCACTAAATCAAGATATCCCACATTTAAAATTGTGTATTATATAGATACAAATCAAGTTAGGTATTGTTTAGCAATTAAAAAATTTGATTAAGAAAGTTAATTTATTTTTCTAAAACGATGTGATTAGCATCAAAGTCTTCGCAACATAAAAGAGCTGAACAAAAGCTTTGGGTTTTTATAAATACAACAATGAGCTGTAACACCAATAAAACTTGAGTTGGTAGAAGATGTGCAGCCAGCGATAGATAAGCACACTGCAAACGCTCCACGTAGCTCACTTTTAATTTTTGCTTCTAAATCGCTGTAAACTTTGAGAATCAAAACTTCAGTTAAAGTTTTTCTCGTAGGTATATTATAACAGGGAAATTGAGTGACCTTTGCTAGGAATTTTATCATTTCAGACTTTTCAACCAAGCGTAGAATGTGTTGACTTTCGGCGATCATGACTATTTTATACATATAAATTATTTTAAAATAGTGGTAACACTAGAAGTAACACATGGTGGAAGCTTTCGCTGTTTTAGTTTGCACATAGTTTAAAATAACAAATTTTAAAGTAATTTTTAGATAAGGCAACCCTGAAAAAGAAATTCATTTAGAATTTTGAACTAGCTCACGCGTTCACTTCAATGAACTAGTTCAAAGAACTAAATAGTTCGTGAACGACAGAAGTCTATTGCTAATCACAATGAATCGATCAACGTGGCGTATGAGTGACATGTTCGGTCAATTGAAATCCCTTCACCACATGGTCATCACAAAAATCCGCAGAGACTTTTCATGTGCTTGTGGTTATAAGAATCGCTTAAAGCACCGCTAAATAACTGAAATATTATTTAGTTTAATAATGCCGATAATTGCGTTCATATAGAACATGTTGAAGCACTCAGTCTCCGGCTTCTTGTCACAAAAACTTTTTACTTAACAACATACTTATATGGTGAAAATGAATAGGAAAAGTGCTTAATCATGTCTACAGTAAATAAATCAAGTAGAAAATAGTTAGTAGGGGTGACAAAGTGCATGGGAAAAGGTGGAGATGTAAGCTTCTTAAATGAGGAAAAGAACAACGCAATAAATTTCCAAAAGTTAAGCGCTGACAATTCAATTTTAAAAATAAGTACGTGCATAATAAGCTAGCAAAGGAAGCGAATAGAATATTCCAAAAACAACAGCGAGTTGTGCGAATAATATTGAAGCAATTGAAGGCTAACAAATAAAGTGGGCATGTGCGAGGGGAGTTCATTCTTTATACATATGTACATATTTAAGTAATTGTACTTGAAGGGTATGTGCAAAGGAATTAACCTTTTATGAAATTTAATAGCTTTGAACGCAGTGAAGCGTTTTGTTAAATTCCGAAAAAAATAGACATGTTTGCATGAATGCTGGAAAGAAATAAGTTGGATTTAACAAAATATCTTATTGTTTGTTTATTGGATTTTATGTAATACACAGAGAAATTTTCGTTTTCCAATTTGCAAGGAACGTTTTACTTTTAAAAACGTTTTGACCCAGGTTTTGCACCTACAATATTTATTTAAATTTTGAGAACGAAAATTTTCAATTCAATTTTCAAAATCCATGTTTTTGTTTTTGATACGAAAATTTTTAAATCGTTTTTAAAAACGATTGTTTGATAATTGAATATGCGCATGTTGAAATTAAATCCTGAAATTTTTTTCTTCATTTTAAAAACATGCGTTTTCAAATATGATATTCAAATTTTATTTTTATTAAATCACAACAAGTCGTTTGGTACATACATTGTCAAAAATATATTGATATACATATACTTATAAATAAGTTACAACATTTAATAAATGAAATACAGATGTTTTAATATTACTATATACATACATACAGATGTTCATGCCTTACTTCCAAGCTGGGCCTGCTAATTTTGCTTCACGCTGGTCAAATTCTGTAATTTAAATAAAGAAAGTTTGAAATTATTATTTAATAGCCCATAAGAATTTGTTTTTGTAAGTTACTCTTACCAAAGCTTTTTTCGTTCAAAGAAGTCCAACAATTCCCCTTTTATGTAGTGGGGGGTTAGAATGGCAGTATTGTTTATATAAACTCCATCGCCTTTTCTAAAGATTGAAGTAACATTTATCTGAATACAATTTTTCCGACAAATGATGTAAGCATATGAAAGTTTTTCATTATAGCTAGGTACCTTTTTAAATTCTAATGGAAAACATTTTAGTTTTAAATATTTTTCATGCCTAATTGACTGAAAATAATATAACATTTTTATTTTAAAAATGTCTAGTTTTATTTTGCTTGTTGAAAATTGTATCGCACTACAACTTGTTGGGACAATATTCTAAAATGTTTCATTTTAGTTTTTAAAATACGCATTTTTGACGCTATTTCTTTAATGTCGTTTGTTTTCCTCAGTAAAAAAGTAAATATATTATTACGATCGTTTTTGTTTTGCGAATGTATCGTTTTAAAGTCGTAAGTACAAATACTGTATTTTTTATTTTGTATGAAGTAAAATTATATCAAAAAATTTAATTTTACAATTTCTTTTAAAAACTTGCGTTTTACCTGTATCATTTTCTCTGTGTAGTCGATAGTGAATGGTATATGTTGCAGAACTTTGAAAAACAGTAATGGCAAGTAAACACGTACATACGTGAGCGTCTAAATAATGTGTACAACTTGTTCTAATATAATGTTCACAATTACTATCATGAACAATTTTTTGCATTAATTATATATGAAAATCTATAATATAAATCATATACGTAAATGAAAGTTTTACAATTTCACAAAAATTTTAAAAAATTTCATCGAAATTTTAAAATTTTTATACAAAAATATAGGTGTTTATCATATGGAAGAAAACGCCCAACACCGTCCGCAAAAAAAATCTAAAAAATCAACGGTAATTTTTACGAAAATTAAAAACTCGAAAAATTTCTAGAAATTCTGAATAAAATTTTTGAAATTTGTACGACAATTTTTTGAACTTTATATAAAGTGTGAAACTTTGATTCATACAAAATATGTATATATTACATATGGTTTATATTATAAATAATTAATGCAAAAAACTGTTCATGAAAATAATTGTGAATATAATATTACAACAAGGTGTACACTTTATTTTGACGCCCACAGTATATACCTTGAGATGTATCAAAATTTTGCTGTTTATAAAATTTAGTCACATATCATCTTAATTTTTTCCATTTAGCCTTAATAAAGCTTCATAGGTGAAGGATCATGATGACAGGCCGGATGAGGTTGATATGTATAACATATCGAACATCTGTCGTTCACAAAGCCCAGTTGCGATCGCGAAAATTTGAATACCTGGCGATCTCCACAACCACTCAGCTGTGCACTTTCATAGCCATTGATATTGATTGATGATATTGATATTGATGTATCATATACATTAAGCGGTATCGAAAGTAAATGCCCATATGGGTATCAATAGTATCGTCACCCTAGTATCGAATACCTATTCACCCAGTATCGAAAGTATCGATACCAAGATTATATCATTAATATCGCAACATCCCTAACCATGTCCATGTTCTGTTAGGGACAATACAGGAAGATATTTATATGAAGACTCACTCCTTTTGCCACCATACTTGGGCTGGTTCGTAACACTTCCTATCGTGTTTGTAATACTCAGAGGGTAAATCCTGCTATGCTATATATTTATGTATGTATGTACGAAGTTTTTCCAAATTATTCAAGAATTTCCTTAACCCTTAAATCGAAGTTTTCCTACAGAGTCTGTATTCACGGAATGACTGTGCCAACGTATGTTTATATTATTGTATACATACTTATGTTTTTATGTACATACTAAATATTTATGTACATACATAAGAATGCATGCAAACAAATGTATGCTTCGTTGACTTTTAATATCCCTAAAGTCCATGAAGGTGGTTAGCAACAAGCGTTTTTGATGACTTTACGATAACAGCGTACACGCGGACGTCCTCGACATTCAGGGTCAAATTGATGTCCAAAGGGAATTTCAACTGTCATGGTGAAGCTAAGACTGGCACAAGCTGAAATATATGTAAGTGGGTTAACTGTATAATTCCATTGTAGATAGACAATCAGACGGAAATACAGACATGTAAACAAATATACCGACAGAGATATTGTTAGATAACAAAGGAAAGGCGTATTAGGTGGTTGATGTGTGGAAAGCATACCTGTGAGCGAGTATTAAATAAGAGCTTTAACTAAATGCAACTAAGAGTTGGCTGTGGAATTGAGAGGAAAAATAACCTTGTAGCACAAAGATTGGTAAAAAATAAAGGGTTTGGTTAGAGTAGAGTATGGTAGTATCATACGAATGCGATGCTATGAAACTGGCTGGGAAAAGAATTCAAAACGCAAATGTAAGTATTTGGCCCCATCTTCAAAAATTCACCCAAAATCATTTCTACGAATAACAATTAGACGAACTAGGAATCCAGAAAAATATCCTATGAATCTTTGCAGAATTAACAACTGAAAACCGATATATTAACACTGACTCCTTCGAAGTATGTGAAATATATATTTGGGCGTCTTTGTGGAGAGAAAGCTAACCGGCGGTGCAATGTATATAGAGAAGCGCACGAGGAGGCCAGTAACTACCCTTTGCACCAGCAAATCAGCTATAGAAAAGAATCGGGCTTTAAGCTGCATGGACACGTCGTGTTAGGTCCCATTTCGTTCTGAGCTGATCCTGGATGAGAGTCGTAGAGACCTTGTTTACCGGTGGATTTGTGCACATTAGGATGCATCACTATCCATACAAAAAAAAAAAACTGTAATCTTTTTCCATCGGAATTATAAAAAGTAGTATATCGCACGCCGTCTTCAAACGAGGCATAACTCAAAATTTGGAATTTTTGAAATTATGCCTTAAAAATGTATACGGAGCTTTTGTTTACCTTTCCGTAAAATTTGGAGCAAATTTTTGTTATAAAAAGTCTATGGTAAAGTCTGTGATTAGCATGTGCTAAGAAATAGTTTTTCACATTTTCTGACAAATGTGTAATTTGAGTTGTGCCGCTTTTGAAGACGGTATACGCATATATTTTAAAATATTTTTAAATATTCGGCAAACTATTAAAAAAAAAAATTAAGATATGTGTGAGCTAGACCGATTTGAAAATACCTTCGATTATCTTATTAACATGTTCATACATTATTTATCTTTTATCAAATGTAGGGATTTTTTTTAACTAATTTTGTTTATAAGACGCTCAATTTTTAGAGGTCGTTTCAAATTGTTCCAGCTTACGTAAGTCTTAATATTTTTTCGGAAATATTTTGGTGGAAATCTTTAAATATAATAATACTCCGGCGGAAAAATCGCAACTTTTTAGTGAGGCACCCTAATGTACGTATGTACATATATAGAAAACTACTACAGGTTATAAGATCGTATTGATAAAGGGGAGTAATATGAGGTTCAGACACTCTGTAATATTGGAAATATTCATGAAAAGTTAAGGTCCCCAGACTATACAATTTTCGTAAATTTTCTGTATTCTCGAAGAAAATGGAAGGCTTCTATTCTAAGCATTCACACCTCTTATATTGATTCATAGCTATAAGTATGTATATACACTTATGCGTATATACCTCAAGTCTTATGTAATCTTCAATTTTCATTACCACATTGTTATAAAAATTAGCTTTTATATAGTAATTAGCATTGGAATGTCTATCGATATTATAATATGAGTACATATTTAACACGTGCAGCCAGAAAGCAAAGATTGTCCTTGAGTTTATTTGTTCAACTTTATTTGACTATGCGCGTATGGCATAGGAGGGTTCTACATGTAATTCTAAGCAAATTTACCGAAGGAACTATGGGTATAAAATTAATTTGGGGTTTGCCAAATTGCGTAAATAGGTTTTGAGGAAAATGTGAAAATGTTCACTGTTCCGCCCTCTGGTGGAAGTTTTAAGAAAAAGATAAGTGCAGAAAACAAAAAAAAAAACCTTTATAGCATTTTTTTATACACAATTTAAACACTTCTTCATCTGTTATGAATGCTAAGAAACCTATCTTCGCAATTTGGCAAACTCCAAATTGATTTTAAGCCCATGATTTCTTCGGTAAATTTTCTTAGAATCATAAATTGAATTGTTCTGTGTTATACGCGCATAGCCGAAAAAAATCTCCCAAACAAATTGGCCCGCCCAAATGTACATACATAAATAGATTGATTGCACTTAATAGGCACCAAGGTACAATTTTGTCTAACAAGTTTAATAAAATCCCAATTTGCACTTAAACAAAATATCTAACCAGCAAGTCAGTTCATCCGCCAGTCATGCAGTCACTTATTCAACCAGCCATGTATAAGCTTCAATTAGTCAATTAAAAAGCCATTGCCCTGGCGCAACACGTACAAGACATATTTTTTAGGTTTGGCTTTTCTACAACACAATTTGTTTATGTACAAATACTTACATACATATATACATATTAAATACATATGTATAGACATTCAAACATACATACATACGTCGTTAGTCCTTTCAATATCATCTTGTTTTGTGTTGCTGCATACAAATTCGCATTCTAAGCTGTCTATGGAAAACTTTGTCCAAACAAAATTTTCATCTTCACCTTTGAGTTGCTGTGGGTGTGTACATATGTGTATGGGTGCTGCTGTGTTGTCCCTACCGCAACGTTATATTATGTATTTCAATGCCATTGCCTTTTGTCCCTTGTGTACTGCACCCAGTCGCTAGCATGTCAGTTACATATTACGTGAGGTCGTGCATTGTATTTGTAGGTTTGTTTGTTTTTTCATATGTAAGTTTCTACCAAGACTACTAACTGGCTGACACCTCTCTGCGGCGGAGTACGCAGATATTGCAGCCACTTGCCTTCTCCACTCTACATAAGCGTATTAAATGTTTATTAACATTTACTGTTCATAAAAGTTTTTTGTCGGTTCTTCTGGCTGTAGAAGGGCATTTCATTGTCCTTAGAGAGGTCATTGTTATTTCATGTCACTCTTCACTGCCGTTTTTTTTTCGTTCCTTGAGGTTAAAAGAATTTTTCTTTTGTCTATTAATTGTCCATTTTCATACACAATTTTGAAGCACTAAAAAATGTACAATAGTTAATAAGACTCTTTTGGAATATCTGGGTACTGGTTATGGTAGTTGTACTGGTAATGGTAATGTTACTGGAAGTGGTAATCGCCTCTATCTCTCTTCTCATCTTTAGCCAACCAGCGGCTCTTGGTTGCCCGCACGATCTGCTCTGTGTGTCAAAACAGAGTATACCGGAATGTGGCATCAGTCAAATGCCACTTCCGCCTATACTCTGGCCTGCGCCCCTGCGAGTGGATAACATGCTAACTTATTGGCTGAACAGATAGACAATTGGACATTCTGCATCATGAATGACGAGGCCCTCCAACCCCCCAGGATTGTAGCAGCTCGGCAGACATAAAAATTGCTAGCGCTGGTCTGATAAATAGCATAACATGGCGACCTAAGCTAACGCTTGCATCAGACTGTCTTTCCGTAATCATCTCGATCAATAAGCCCACCGACTTTGCTCCCGCCAAAC